AAGTTAACGTTCAAATTATAATTTCTTATATTCTGACATCAAGCCTGGGCTAATTGTGCTAACTTACAGTAGCCTTGAGTGGAAAGATCCACTATTTAGTGTTTGATGTTTAGTTAAATACTATAGGCATAGACACATTTCCATGGCCAAATGTGAGTTTGCAAGGCAATGGTCATCGTTGTTCTCATTGTTCCCTGGAGGTCAACTACAGATTAAGTTATTATATTTAGGATTAAAATAAAATAACTCTGTCTCATTTTCATTTGACCATCAGGTAATAAGAATATGTTCATTCTTATTATTGGAGGGAGGAAAAGGAGTAAAATGATGTAATTATGTTATAATCTCAAAAATAAAATTATATATATATGTATGTATATATATATTAAAAAAATGTGTCCATAATACAGAGTGCCTGTGAAGTATTTTTCACTGTAGTTTCAGAAGTAGAACTATGATGGGAACTGGCAAGAAAACAGACTTCTATAATGAAAGGAGGAGTTTTTTTTAATAATTAAACACTTCTAATGATGGAACAGGCAGAAGTACCTACAAATAGCTATGAAGAAACTACAAAGTGTGTTTTGAAAGGCGTTCCTAAATTTGGTGTTGGGAGGACTTGCCACTCCTCCAATGGTGCTTTGACTTCATGTTTTCATAGCAAATGGCTTTGGGATGCTTACGTGCTATATTGGAGCATCTAGGGTCAGCTTGTCTTCTTGTATTATAGTAAGTCACTACAAAGCTTTATCTGGTGCAAAGAATTGCATTTCAAGAGAAAAAGGAAGGGCAGGGGATGTAGCTCAGTGGGGCAGTGCTTTCTTAGCGAGCATGGAGTTCCGAGTTTGGTCACCAGCAGAGTATGCTTCTAATCTCCACACTCCAGGGGTAGAGAAGGAACACAGATTCAAAATCATCCTTGGCTACATAGTGAGTGGAGGCCAGCCTGGACTACATGAGACCCCCCCTCCAAGAAGGAAAGAAATCGAGGATTTGAAGACTTGCATTCTCATCGATACTGCCTTTCTACCAGCTGCACACCCCCCCACCTACTACCATCAAAAACCTGCTCTTATGAACTGAGGCTCCTAACAGCCCCTGAAGATTGCACAAATGAATATAAGGAATGCTATGAGGTAATATCCCCTGTTCTGATGGAGTAGTCCAAAGGACTTTCTCAACATACGAGTCCTGTGAAATCCTGGTAAGTTCTGCTGTCTAAATGAGTCCTTTTCAACTTTTAATTAATTAGTGTGCTTGTCTATGTGTGTGTGTGTGTGTGTGTGTGTGTGTGTGTGTGTGAGTGCACATGAGTACAGAAGAGGGTATCAGACCCTTGTAGTTGTAATTACAGGTCGTTATGTCTGACATTCACCTGACATGGATTGCTGTGAACAAAACCCAAGTCTTCTGCAAGTACAGTGTGCATCTTAACCACTGGGCCATCTCTGAAGCCCCCTCACTGATTCTTAAGAAGAACAAACTGAACAGATCACTTTATTCCAAGATTTTCCTGATTTCCATTTCTAGTGTATAATGTCACTTTCTCGGAAGAGAAAGGAAATACATCACTTCCAAACTTCTTCCACAGAATGCTTTCTGCATGGAACATCATATCAGACTAATGCCTGGACGTCAACATTTTGGAGAAATTCTATTAATGTATCCTCTACCAATACTTTTTTTAATTTGCTTCATTCTCATTTACTGACCAAGCAGGGATTGCAGCACAGTGGCTATACTGACTAATTTGCCTAGTCGATTTAATTCCATCTGAGTTCCAACAGAACATTTAGTTGCTGTATTCATTACGCAGAAGCCACATCAGTAGCTGCCTTAAATTTCCCCCAATCAGCCCCCTTGTTGGTTGCAAACACCAAAGTGAACACAGGCTTACTTTTGCTTTTCAGTTTGGAGCTCGTCCTCCTGTACTCGGCACAAGTCCTCTTTAAGGCTGATGACTTGGTCACAAGACAAAGGTGGAGGAATGTAAGTTCCGTCGACTCGCAGGTCATCAAAGCAGGGCTTTCTGAAGGCATAGGAGTCGTCGCAGCAGCGGCCCACTCCAGCGTTGACAGGCTTGGCGTCATGTCTTCGGCACAGAGCTCCGAGGATCAGCTTGGCCTTTTCCAGAGGAGAGCGGTGAGATCAGGTTGTGGTCCTTTAGCCACAGACAATGAGATTCTGTTTGCGCATGCCCGGGTTGGATGCGCACGCCCTAGCACCACCTGGATTCACTTTGTGGGGGAAACAGAAGGTTGTCAGCGTGGACTGAGCCACAGCTTGTGCTCCGTCTCGTGTCACTGTCAGGCTAATGTGCTCTTAAGTCATCTCTGTCATCTGATAGACCAGCTTCATCATGAGATTATAGTTCTTAGTCCCACCCAACCCACCAATTCAGCGTCAAGCAGCAAGCCCACCCTACGGTCTGTGTGACTTTATGTGCAGCTGCCGATGGGACTGCTCAACAAGCTCCAATCCAGTGTCTTCCAACATCGTGTAACGGACAGCTGCAACCGACTGCAGAACTAACACACGGCAGGTCCTCCAGGGGTGTTCAAAGGCTTGAGCACCGAGTCTGGTCCTGTCTGCATTATCTCCCTCATTTTCTTGACCTCTTCTAGAACTGTCTCCTCACCTTGCTCCCGCTCCGGTGCTCACAGCAGAAGTACTCACTGTAACACTGTCTGGAAACTCTGTCTGTGTTACCCTCTGAGTACACTAGCCACCCAAGTGCCCTGTCATTCATGTTTGTGAGGATGAAGTTATCCAAACCACTCAATGCAAATGATGAATTATGAGTTTGTCTGTCTTAGAAGTAACAAGGCAACTTCCCCAAAGTAAAGTTCTAGGAACATACAAATCTAATCCGATGAACTCCCCAAGAAAAACATGAATCCATAACAAAAAATTAAAGTTAAAATGAAGGAAGTGCTAGATATTAACTTTTGATTTTTAATTCAAATAACTATGCTTTATTAGAAGAAAGGTTATAGTGAGTTAGCATAAAAAATACAATCTACTGCAAGTATAGGACAAATGAAATTAGCACTAAACAAGAATTCAGAAGCTAAATCTCAGAGGCTGGAGCACCGTGCTGCTCAGGGACAGTCTCCATGGTGAAGCAGAAATGGCTACAACCATGCTTCAAGAGACCTTGAGGGAATTGTACTCAAGGCCACCCTTGCCCTTCTTTTCAGCTCATGTGAACTAATCTCCCTATTTTAATTCAACCTCTCTAATATTTTGATGGAGGAAAAGGCTAGGCTATTACTACAACCAATTGCCTCTAGCTCTGGGGCCACGTTGCTCCTTGTGAATGAGCACACTTGGGCACGAACAGATAAAATATTATAAGTTCCACGAGCCTTAGTCAAGCATCTGCAGCATCTTTGAAGCTGTCCACAAGGTCAGTTTGGTCAACTTTAAAACCCAGGCAGTGGACTCTTGTAGGTGACCAGGGGAAAGTTTTCTGAAACTAATGACACAGGCTTGAGAGGGGACAGTCCTCCCCTGCTGCTAATTAAAATGGTCAGCTTGAGCTGCCTGGAAAGCATCTCCCCTGAGGACTGTTAACCCCCACTGGTAGGTCAGAGATATGCCCGCAGAAATGAGGTTGATTCCTGGGGGCAGGAGAGCAGAACTTCAGACAGATGGTAGATGCCTCACGGGTGACCTTACCGCATCCTCCACACAGGCAGACTGCAGCTCGTCGCTTAGTGGGCAGCATCTACTGGCAGCTGCTGCCGTCTTCCTTGTGAATGCCACCAACTCCTGCACAGACAGCTGTGGGGCTTTCTTAGTATAGAGGATGGTAAGCCTAAAATGATAAGTCCTTCTTACTCGTGGTAATATGCGCACACACAGAGATATCCATCTACACCAGCGCTTCTCAGACTGTGGGTTGTGACCCTTTGGGGGGCTTCACAGGGGTTGCATATCAAATATTCACATTTTGATTCATACCAGTAGTGAAATGACAGTTATGAAGTAGCAATGAAATAATTTTATGGTTGGGGGCCTGCTATGGAATAATCCTTCTGTACATTATGTAAATATATGTTGCTATGATTGGTTTAATAAACAAGCTGACTAGTCAATAGTTGAACAGGATAGAGTCAGGTGGGAAAGCCAAGCTGAGAATGATGGGATGAGGAGGGGCAGAGTCAGAGGCATTATCAGTCAGATACAGAGGGAGCAGGAGTTGAACATGCCATGCTAATAAAGATACCATCACATGGCAGAGGGTAAATGAGGAATATGGGTTAACTTGAAATGAGAGAGCTAGTTAGTAATAAGCCTGAGCTATTTGCTGAACATTTACAATTAATATAAGCCTGTGTGGTAGTTTGAAGTGGTTTTTAGAATGGAAAACTTCACCTACAGGGCTCACCACAACATGAGAAACTATTAAAATGTTGCAGCATTAGAAAGGTTGAGAACCACTGACTGACAGTTTCCCATGGTATTCAACATTATCTCTGATATAAGAAGAACGAAGCATTAGACGAGGGTTAACGATCTCTTCTGCCATCCTGATGGCTCAGAGGGTAACTGTACACAATTGTTGTTGTCCTCGTACGCATGCCCTCTTCCGTTCTAACCCATTTTTAGTGGACTAATCAGGGATATGTTCAAAGCTAAAAATCAGACCTAGAGTAAGCAGTTTCTGAGAGGAGCCGCGATGAAGCTCCTAGGGACCATTTGCCTCCTGTGAAACAGCTCGCATTCTCCAGGGACTCACACTCCAGTGAGCAGGGGCAGACAAGTACCGTGTGTGCCCGGTGCAGAGAGCTGCCAGTGCTGTGAGCTAAGTCAGAACTTTAAAAAGGTTCAAGTCATGCCGGGCGATGGTGGCGCACGCCTTTAGTCCCAGCACTCGGGAGGCAGAGGCAGGCGGATCTCTGTGAGTTCGAGACCAGCCTGGTCTACAGAGCTAGTTCCAGGACAGGCTCCAAAGCCACAGAGAAACCCTGTCTCGAAAAACCAAAAAAAAAAAAAAAAAAAAAAGTTCAAGTCTCCCACCACCAGAAACGAGGGAAGGAATTGCCTCTGCCTCCCTCCATCTTTCTTAGTTCGACCACTTCAGAAAACCTTAGAAGACTTTCTCCTCTCATTGAAGCACACACAACGCACATATTAAAACTGATCTACATTTTCATCAGCTTTATGAGTCAGCAATGTCTTCTTCAGAAACCCAGGATTTAGGGACAGGCAGCTCCCCCTTTCTCCCAGTTCTTGGCTGTGGGGAGAGCTTATGTTGGGGAAGAATCCTATTGCAAGCTACAAAGGACCTCCTTGCTTAAAGATGTAAGAAGGGTTTTGGGGGTGGGGCAGGGCTGTTGATCTCTAGAGACGTAGTGAACGAGAGTTTTGTAAATTGGCAGGTAAAGCTAGGGTGAGTTTTGGCAAGCAGACCAGTCAAATCATCTTGAGCGCTAGTCATTGTTCAGAACGAGTTCACCAGTTCCTGTGCACAAAGGGTTGTGTCTGCTTAGCTGTGGCCAGGGACTGGGACTTCTTTCTGGTTTAATATTTATTCAATTAAGAAGAAACTATTCTACTTCAATATTACCTTGACAAATTTTGTTTTTAATGTTATTTCCCTAACAGGACATAAAAGATGGTATCTTTTTCATCAAGGAGGTCAGGCAGGGTATCCTGAGGAAAGGTCTTCGGAACTGAGAAATGACAATGCCTCTAAATGAGCCAGGTGAAAGGGCACAGGATGTGGGATTTGGGAAGTCATTGACTGTGAGGTTTGTTGTTGTTGTTTTGTTTTGTTTTTGTTTTTTTTGAGAGGGGTTAGATATGATATCAGTTTTGCATCATTTTTAAGGTAATGGCTTCTTTGAGAAGATTCACAACAGTCAAAGCAGAGCATCGCACTGTTTTAAAGTCATTCTGGTAACACAAGTAAAAGAAAATGAGGCGACTTGGGATAGCAAGTAGTGTTGAAGACAGAGCGACGTGGAGTGGTCTTGAAGAGAAAGACTGCAGAGCGGCTTGTTCAAGACCACAAACAACTAGAACTAACTGCTGCATGGCTAGACAAAAACACACGGAAGAAGGAGAGTTTCTACAGCAGCCAGGGAGAATCTCGGGCCTGGGTTCTATGTCTTCTGGAAGATTTTATTCCATTCTAAAGCTGAGAGAGCCACAAATCTAATCTTTACAATGGACATTAGCAACTGAACACAACATAACAGGAAAGCACTGAGCCCAAAACCCTGCCTCAAAGAGCCAGGATACTGTCTGTGATCCATTATTTTGGACATTTAATTTAAACTCGATATTATGAGATACTATATCAAACTGAACTTTTCTTAATACTGTGTTTCTAAACAGACCATTCTAGCAAGACCTCAGAAATTCCTCAAGTGGGCTTTACTTTTTGGTTACTTAATCCTTGATAAATAGGATTCGCCAGGCTCTCTGTACCCAAGGTGTTCGTATTCCCTTTGACAAATAACTAAGGCATCCATCTTGGTCAACACACTAGCCTTGCCTGAAAAACCTGACTTACGAGTGCTAAGGAATTTTGGATTCTAATCTCTATTGCAGCTTTGACTCCAAGTCCCAGTCAAAGCCCCGAGGTAAAATGGTCAGGTGTGAGAGTCCATGGTGGCCCTGCAGGGCTGCTTTGCTCCCTGACCTCAGCAGCAGCTGGGGAACTGGGCTTGGAAGCAGGATGGAGGCTACCAAAGTTACATAGGTACCTGTCAAATGAGCACAGGAGGCTAGTTAATGCTCAACCGAAGAGTGGGTACAAATTCTGAGAAAATCTTAGCATGGGGATTAACCAATAGGCACTGACGAGGATGGAGCTGGGACACCTGGGAGCATACCTGTCCTGGAAGTTACTGCCTCCTAACGTCCTGTGTAAGTCACAGTAAGTTTTCACACGGTCACGGCTCTCACGGACCACTCTTTGGAACATCTCTTTCTGAAAAACAGACACTGTGAATGTTTATTCAGGACCACAACAATATGCCTTGAGATGGGATTACATTTTCCCTAATAGTTTAATAACAATATTTGCTTAACCAACTCTTTTTTTCCCAATTAGTGAGTTTGGGAAACTCAAAAAAAAAAAGATTTTTTTTTTGAGAGAGAAATCATCATGTGCTCTGCGGGGAAACAAGTAAAACAGCAAGATTGAGTGTTTCTCTTACCGTCATATAGACTTCAGTGCCAAATTCTATAACCATAAGGCAAATCAGTCATCAAGCCAGAAAGAGAAAGGAAGAGGTAGCATATAGATCTCTTTTACTGGTCAGTGTGTGTGTGTGTGTGTGTCCCAGTGTGTGTATATGTCCATTGGTTCATTTGATAATTAGCCTTATTAGCAGCATGCATACAATATAAACATAAACTATACAGGTATAGAGATATCGAGGTGTGATAAGAAGTGATGGTCTAATATAAACATTAACAGTCACGGCTATAAAACATGCCGCAATAATATACTGAAAGGGACCAAATGGGATTTTCAGAGCTGAAGCTAAATCAAAGTGTTCTTGAACCATGAAATAGACTCCGGTGAGAAGGCATTAGTAACCCTGCAGACTCAGCTCTTGGACAGGAGCATATACCCCCTTAGTAAGCCTTATCCTGATAAGTAGTGTTTGGCATAGAGAAAATTCCCTCTGACTTGTAAGCGAGTGGCCTGGGCTATATTATTTTCCCTGTCTTTATTGCCAGTGGCCCATTAGACAAATCACCTGACCCTCTGAACTTTAATCTTATCTACAGTAAGCACTTAGAAACTGTGGCATTGCCTGTTTTCCCAGGCTACCAAGAGATTGATTCAGTTGGGCGCTATGATAAGGCTGCCTTATAGCATAACCTCTGACCACCCACGCTCCTGCATGCTGCCGCAGCTGTAGGTTCCTGTGGAAGCTGTCTTGATTATCAAAGAAGTCAGGACAGGAAGGCAGGAGCTGACACAGAGGTGCTGCTTACTGGCTCGCTCCCCTTGACTTGCTCAGCCTGTTTTCTTATAAAACCCAGGACCACCAGCCTAGGGGTGGCCCCACACTTAAGGGGCCTGACCTTCCACGTCAGTCCCTAAGAAAATGCCCTACAGGCTTGCCTGCAGACTGATCTTATGGAGGCGTTTTCTCAACAGAGGCTCCCTCCTCTACGATGACTCTAGCATGTCAAGTTGTCACAGAACTGTCCAGTAGAGTAGCCTGTGATTTCGAGCGGGTGTACCTCACATAGCCTTCTCTCTAGAAACAGTAATACCAGCTGGACCTGCTTGAACTCAGCACCAAAAGATATATACCTTTGCTCTTCATCCCCTCCCTTGTTAGTTTGTTCTTCAAGACAGGGTTTCTCTCTGTAGCTGCGATTGTCCTGGAACTTTCTCTAAAGACCAGGCTGCCCTTGAACTCAGAGAGATCCACCTTCCTCTGCCTCCCAAGTGCTGGGATTACAAGCATGCACCAATACCTCCCAGATAGTCCCTGCTTTGGGTAAAGCATCAGTTAGAGTAACTAAAGTCATAACTTCCTAGGCCTTGTTTGGTAATTCATGACTAACTTTCAAAGCGAAAGTTTGTGGGAACTCTAGCTCTCCCATAAAAATGCGTAACAAGAGATGGTGACTGTGATCAGGCAGCTTGGTAGCTTGCAAGGGAAGCATCTTCCAAGACATGGGACCCAAACAGGCTGTAGTGTCCTGCTACTGTGCCAAGCCGGCATCTACATTCACTTCAGGACACTGCAGGGTGTGGGGGCGGGAGGTGTCTCAGGAAGCACTCTAAGAGACAGGTCACTATGGTGTGTATGACAGTCTGGTTGAGAGAGAAATCCTGCTGGTTGCCGAGTGTTCGTAATTAGTGAAAACATGCAAACTCATTTTACAAAAGAATGTGCTACTAACAGGACTGGAACTTTCACCAATTGGAGCCACTAGTGAGAAACAAGCTTTAAAAAATAAATAAAAAAGGAATTTACCCCACGGCGGTGGCATTCCACAGGGTTTCCTAACTTGCAGCATTTCTCCAGTAACTGTTTATATGTTGCAAGTATTCTTAAAATCACTGGAACTGCCAACTCCAGGTGTCTTCTTGTATATTCATAAAGAAACCTGTATTGTGTAAGACACATGAGAAGACCAAGCTTAAAACCCAGAGGCCATGGATTTGTTTGGTTTTATTTTGTTTTGTTTTTTTCAAAAAGCCATAATGACCATGGAATTGAACTGACTTGAAGGCAGTTTGAACCTTGGGAAGCTTTCAGAGGGGCTTTATAGCTATATTCTGAGATAAGAAAACCAAATCAATAAAATCACATGATTTCCAAAGTCACATGGTAATAAATGGCAGATTCAGAACTTGTACCTGAAGCACTGGTAGGTTCTGGCTCAGCCTCTAGATAATTCTATGTCAGGTCAATTTCGAGCATTTTATGGGATGGCATATTTTCCAATTATCTTTGGGATTATTTTGTTTTTTTTTTTTTTAAAGGACCTTCCATTAATGTACTTTTGAGGCATTAAATCATCCCACCCCCAACTTTTTAAAAATAAGCTCCTAAGTCTGACAAGTCCAGTCATAATCTACACACTTATCTAGGTCACCAGAAAGAGATAAAATGGGGGCTGGAGAGATGATCCCATGGTTAAGTGTACGCACTGATCTTCCACAGGACCAGGAACTTACAACTGCTTATAACTCCGACTTAAGGAACTCTGATATTGCTAGCCTCGGCATGTGCAGAAACATGCATTATAATAATTTTAAAAAGGAAAATAAAGCTGATTCTAGAATGTTTTAACAAAAACTTAGAGGATGAAAATGAAATCTTTGGTGCTTCCTCATCAATTGCCTCGGTTTACCATTCGAACACACTGCCTGGGAGATCAAACCACCACACACACAGCTTTTGAATCTCAAAGCGATTCAACTCACAAGTACACATGCCTTTCACTATTGGGTTTAGTATGCACAGGTCCATTGATTTTTCAGTACCAAGTGCAAGCTTAGGAATTTATATGAGTGGGTTCAGATAGTGGTATTTAATTTTACTAGCTAGTATCAGGCGTAGTTTGTAAAATATAAGTGAAGTCATCTAATGTTGAGGGAAACTCAATTCTCGTGGCTTCACAGGTGACTCTGGGGGCATTCTAATAGCACAATGTTGTTGTCTTAATATAGTATATTGAAGTCGCTTTGTGGTAATGCAAAAATTAACATCTACTTCTGAATAGCCACTGATGATATTAATATCCCAACTCTTTAATGCCTAAATGGTATGTGCATTTGACAGTGTATATTAAATTAATTAGAATAAAAGTGCTAGCCAGGAATACCAATTTGATCCTCTTTTTATGCCCTCATCCCTCATCCCAATGCTTGTGACATTTGACTATCGCTAGCCTCTTTATTTTAACCCTACACTAGTTGTCCGTGTTTGAGAATAAAGGATCATCTAGCTTCTCTTTCCTGTATCGTTTCCATCCACCCGAACCCACATTCCCACTGGCATCATGAGTGGAGATGAATAACTATTGGCAACTTCAGGCTTCAAAAAGCATCTCCTCCTGGCCATAGCGCCCATCACTGGCCCCATTTTCTTTCACGTTTGCACCATCTCTCAACTGAATCCATAAGCACCCAGGAAAAGCTGCCTTACTCTTGTAGAAAGTCATCCTGCTTGTCACTGAATTGTTTGCAGGCAGACTGGTCTTCGGTAAACTTTCTGAGTGCCAGGGATGTCAGGTTGGGCTTGTCATCATTTTCTGAGATGATAATGCACTCCCCACGGAATGGTTCTGGCTGTTCACAACACTGAGCAAACTTGCTGGACAAGATGGCCTGGTGAGAGCAGGTGTAGTTCATAAGCTGGTGCTGGGAGACACGAACAGGACAGTTATTATTCGGTTTAGTTTCAACTTAATCTGTTGTAAAGAATGCCAGAGGAAAACTTGATACTGTACACTGCTCTACCCCAGGCACACAGAAAGGCCCAAGGAGACATTCATCATAACTTATTTTGGAAAGAAATACTTGTTTGTTTGACCTTACTTAGAGTCTCAAATATCTTATCTTAAAAAGATAGAAGATAGATTGTATTAATGTTTCACTTCTAGTCCAAAAGCCACAACCAGAGGGTTCTATTGTCTTTTTATTGTTGTTCTTATTGTGGGATCCCAGTCAGGGAAGCATTGGTCCCAGAACCACATCATCCTCTGCCTGCTACTTGGTGTAGTCCATGTTGCTGTTCTACTTACATATCTGCTTAAATGCACAGATAACTGTTTCTATGTGTGAATTAGGAACTCGAGACCTACTCAAAGAGTCCAATAATGAAATGAAACAACCACAAAGCGGTCATTTTTAGAAAATCGTATGATTCTTCAGAAGAAATCAAAGGAATTGGCCGTCTACAATGGAAGTCACAGTGATGGTCTTGCATGATTTGAGTCATTTGAAACAGGTGAAAACAAAGCCATCCTAGAGTATTTATTTTTATAGGTATAGAAAACCTTAGAGGTTAGAAAGAATGACATGGTTGGGAGAGGGTCATTGGAAAGCCATTGAGAGTGTTACTTAAGGCTTGGCTACACTAGGAACTACTAACAGGTGGAAGTGAAAAGTTGTTTCAACAAAGGGGAGTGAGGGAAATGAGGAGACAGGATCTAGGATTACTTGGGACAGTGGGAAATAGGATTCACTGAAACTCGTGGTCTAGGGTAGGAACAGATGAGGATAGCGGCTGGAGAATGAGACCAAAGAATTTCCTGGGGGTGTGCAGAGTTCAGAATGACTTCAAACGTCTATAAGACATTTACAGGGAGATTTGCCCTGAGCAGTAGGGGTTCTCACGAAATCTAGGAAAGAATAACATGGAAATCTAAGAGTCATAGGTAAGCCAAATCATGGAGTCATTTTGAGACTCTGAGGATGTCTGTGTGCTGGTTCACTAGGAAGCCAGCATGCTCTCCGTGGCTCAGCACAATCAAAGCATAGCTCCCTCCTGTTAAGGAGGAAAGGTGGGACTTTTCCAGGCGGCAGTTCCAGGAAACAAGAGCAGCTTTGTCACCATCTACCTGTGACTTCTGGCATTGCCTTATCATTAAACGTTACTGGGATGAGAGTGTGGTGGGAGAATAGGGGCTAGAGACTGAAGCATCAAGATTAACAAAAACGAAACTAGCAAGACAGATAGGGAGCTCTTCTTCCTCTGGACTTCATCTAATAAACAGGGCATGCTGAGAAAAATCTCATGGCATACAAATGAGGACGAGATGACCCTGCAGAAATGTCCTAGAAAAGGTCATGACCCTTAGGGGTGGGGCTGGAGGAAGGGGATGGGGTGGGAATGGGGCTGGAGGGTGCTTTCTCCCATAGCTCACTAGCCTGCTCCAATTCTCAGGAGTTCCTTCTCTTTTGGAATAAATGATCTCTATCACCATTTCTAACTATGTGTTCCTGACACAGTTCTTTGCTGTGGGGCACAGGAATCCAGACACTTCACCAAGTGTTCCCAGGCCACCATGGCCTTAGGTTTTAACAGGAGTGAGTGTGCTGTAGGATGGAACCCAGGAGACAGCTGTGAGCTGGACCTCAAATGACTGGAATAGCTCTTAGCTAGGACTCAGGCAAGTGGCTCCACCTGGTTTTCAGACAGGCAGGAAATACAATTCATGTCCAGAAATGGCCTAGACAGGAAGGGAAGAGAAAGCCTTTGCTGATTGACTCCCCAGTTCTGCCAAGGCACACGCAGACAGAGAGAACAGCTGATAACAGGCTGCCTGGAAACTGAATTTCAAAAGGTAGTAAGAAAAGGAGAGGAAGAGGGAAGCTGGAGGCAGGCCATGGTGGTGCAGACCTTTAATCCCAGCACTCAGGAGGCAGAGGCAGGAGGATCTCTGTGAGTTTGAGTCCAGCCTGGTCTACAGAGTGAGTTCCAGGACAGCCAGGGCTACATAAAGAGACCCTGTCTTGAAAAACCAAAACTCTGTTATTGTAGAGAAATGATGCTGTGGTTAACAGCTAAGTATACTCCTTAAATTGCCCACTTTCTGACTGAAAATTAGGGAAACTTTCTCACCTCTTTGTACCTCAACTTCCTAGTCTGCAAAATGGGTAATAAAATAATACCTGGTAAGGCTGCGGAAAATACATTAAAAATGGAATAATTATCAGGAATAGAGTAGGTATTCTAAGAGTCAGATAAAATTGAAGGGTTAGTTTTGGTACTAGTCACCAGCCTTTAAAAAATGAGTGGTGCAGCAGTTACCACACAGTCTTAGACAGTTGTTCCTTCAGAGCTGTGCAGTCAGAGAGAAGCTGAGAGAAGCTTACTGACTTCTAGTGATTGGCATGGGAATACCACGTTATAACATTATAGCAATATCGCAGATTAAAGTTGGGAATAAACATTCTCCTTTCGGTCAGTGCGGAGCTGGGAATCACCACGGAGAAGCACACTAAGTGCTGTAAACAGTAGACAGAGCTTGTAGACAGGCGGCTCTACAGTGTGCCGTGTGAGGGTCTTTCCTCGGAGATGAAGGAGAAAGGAGCAAATAAGAGAGAAATCTACTAACACAGCATGCATGGTGGGAGGCGGGAGATAAAAGAAATGTCTCGTTTGGAAGTATAATTCAGTGGGGTAGCCCCAGCTGAGGGGATGCCAGGCCCTGTGGTCAATCCTCAGCCCCAGAAAGGAAAAAAAAAAATACTGTTCAAAATAAATAGCTGTGAGCACGATTGAAAAGAATGAGAATACCACCAAGCCGCCAGCCAAAACATCTGTGATAGAGCAACAGGCAAAACGAAGAGGAAAATCGATAGAATTAAAAGCATAAACCCGGCGAGTGAGTCCAACAACTTGTTTTTGGAGAAGGCCAATAAATTAAACCATCCCCTTCCAGAGCCAATTAACTAAAAAGAAGACCAAACACACAAGAAAAAGGGCATACGGCTACATAATTGATGGTGTTTTCATTTCAAACGATAGCACCATCGAGAGCTCAATAACCCTAAATGAAAAAAACGCTAAGAAGTGAGATGTTTTGAAGAGGAATTTCATTAAATCCATGACAACATAAACAGCCAAGACTCCGTCTAAACACCGAGTTGGTGCATACTGAATCAACGCCACTCTGAGAAAGAAGCAGGACTCCCTCTGGCCTCTGGCCACACCACTAACCAACCGAGACATAGCCTCGCTTAGTGCCTGTCTCTTTGTGAGGTGCCTTATTTAATACGAGCTGCTGTTTGCTCAACACTGAACACAGAGCAGATTGCCTGACGTGAGCAGGGAGGAAACCTATCTACTGTGCACATTGTTTTCTGTAAGATGCATCATCTTGTACTTAACACAGCATTTCATCGCTGTACTTGGAATAACCTTGAGCATCAGAATTACCAACAAAAATGTTGCCATTAAGTGCACTGCATATAAAAAGAACGTTCGTTTATACTGTGAGAGCTGAAGCAATAGTGAACGGTGCCTCGCTGGGCCTCGCGAAGGTGTGGTATGTGCATTGGGTGGCTCAGATGTTTGGCTGCTCTCAGCGTGTGTTAGCGTGGGACCAGCCATGGAAGTGCTGTGAATATTGATTTGCATCTGGGTAAGCAGATGAGTTCAGAATTACAGAATCCACGAGCCATGAGGTTTTGCTGGGAACGTGTTGAGCTGACGCACAGCAGAAGACACAGAGAAGTGTTCTGCTATTTTCTGTCTCTACCACAACCTGAGGGTTAACAGACAAGCTCAAATCCTTCCAGAACACATGACCTCAGTCCTATCTGGAAAATGTTAAAGGGCTAGATGTCTCGGTGGTTAAGACACTGGCTTCTTCTCTGGAGGACCACGGTTTGTATTCCTAGTACCCACTTGGCAGCTCACAATCAATTGAAATTGCAATCCCAGTGACTCTGACCCACTTCTAGCCCTCTTGGGAGCTGGAGCATACATGGTACACAGACATATAAGAGGGAAAACACAAATAAAATAAAAATAAATATTTTAAAAGTAGAAAATTAAATTTGTCTTTAGAAATGAGCATAAATGAATATCCAAACTTTATAAGGCATATAGAAATAGTAATAGCTTGAATGAGGAAATTCGAATAGAAGGACATAAACAACACAAGTCCAAAAATACAGCAAAATGAGATTTGTAAAAGTGGTTAAGACGTAAGGACTATGTTTTCATTCTGCCTTTCTGGTGGGCATGTAGCGTGCTTGTGTGTACATAGAGTGTGAGCGTGTGAGTGCAGGTGCACGGGTTCCATGGTGCACGTGTGAAGGTCAGAGGGCAACCCTGAATGTCAGTCCTAGCCTTCTGTCTGGATTGAAGCAGGGCTTGTTAGTCTCTGTTAGCCACTGCTGCATTAGCAGGGCTCACATGAGATCTTCTGGGAACTCTCCTGCCTCCAGCTCCCTGCTCACTGTGGGCACACAAGGAATACAGATGTCTTACCACCACATCCAGCTTTATGTGAGTTCTAGTCCTCACACTTGTGTGACAAGTACTTCATTTATAAAATCCATTGGCAAATAAGTCAAAAGATAGAAAATCAAATGACCACCCAAAGATAAGCAAATAGTGCCTACATATGATGTTCAGAACCCATCCAGACTAAAAACAAACATGCCAGACCTCCCTAAAGAGTAATGAAAACTCTCTGGACACATAAACACTATCTTTGGCAAACCAGGAACCCCCAGAGCTGTTTCCATCGCTATCTGAACTGGGACAGGGTTGCCAGAACAATTTACAGTTACTTGAACTTGTTTATGAATACGAGACAATAAAATTAGGTAGGTGCAGATTGCTCTGGCTTGCCTGCGGCAGTCCATCCTGCAAGAGCGGCGGTCCTGCAGTCTCTCGCTGGGTATGGGGACTGTTTATGTGTGAAGGAAAGGCTTTCTCAGCTTTTATTTTGTCTGAACTGGGTTCTATCAGGGCCATATGTCTCTTTACTTTTCTACCAAATGTACCCACTCTTCAGTCAGAAAGGATCCGTCAGTCTACCCAAAGAGATGAAGCTCAGGAGGGGAGCACTTGCCTGACAGGCACAAGGCCCTGGGTTCAATACAAAGAGGCAGCACCCCCAAAACATGCAAAAAAAAGTGTTGTTCATGAGTCTGGCCATTAGCCAGTGTTCTAGGAATTGGGAGTGGCAGGCATTGCTGTCCCTGAGTGGCAGAGCTGAGTTTAACACTGACAGTCACAATGATTACCAGAAGGTGTCACTTGGGCCTGCACTCTGTCCCAGGGGAGGTTACGTTTGAAGATTGACAGTCTCGGGGATCCTCCTGTTCCCCCCTTTTAAGTCTTATTTCAGTGTGTGTCTTCTAAGTTGTGCATGAAGGGAACAGAAAAGTTTGGGGGTGGAGATCTTTCCCCACAGGCTTTTGAGTTTTCCCATGAAATGAGGCTTCAGCTTGTCCTGGTCTTCTCGTCTGTGGTGAGACTTGAAGACTCTGTTTAAATAAAAAAACATGGCGCAGGACTTGGCTGGGGCCTTAGGAGGCACGGGCAGCCTCAGTTCACTCCTTCCTTGGGACTTGGGGACTTTATATTTGGATGTAACATAGGTCTTTGTCCACGTGTCCATGCCCTAGGAGTTCCACACCACACTGACAGGTTTTCTTTCCCAGAGATTGACGTCAGATGCAACTCTAGGCATTATGCAGTTAGCGATGGAGAGTGGACTATAGTCCCGATTTAGTTAAACGCCAGTTCCCGAAACCTAACAAGTTAAAGGAATGCGGGAATCACCACACTAGGTAGGGACAGAAAGGAGAGAGTAGGCATTCTACTGGTAAAAGGAAGAGGTCATTACTTTTCTAGCTTTATTATTTACTGCTGTATTGTTGCTTAAGAATTTTAAACTTTTTAAAGGCTAATATGGGAGATGACGATAGAAAATATTAAAGCATTGCATATGTATGAAACTGTCAAAGAATAAATCTAATTAATAAAGAATTTTAATTATAAAGCGTCTTACCCTGCCCAGTGCACATGCCACTGTATTTCCTTCACAACAGATCTCATGCAGATTTTTAATATCTGTGGTCAGTTTGGCAATTTCAGAAAAGTTGGCTTTAGGTTGCTTTTTAGTGAGCAGAATCAATTCTCTGTAAAGAAAATTAAGTCCCTTGAAAGAGTTTTCTTTTAAGATGAGAATAGCATTCGGCTTTTAGTAATTATTCTATTTTTGAGATTATAATATAATTATACCATTTCCTTCTTTCTTTTCCTCAATATTTTGAATTTCTATTTCAAGTACCACAAGCGTCTAAACCAGCAAGGAGGTATTTTTTTTTTTACTTTGGTTATAATACATAGACCCACACAAAGATCAAATCGTAATAACGTCCAATACAGTAATCTTCATCATTTAAGAATCTGCTATCAACACCAAGCTTCTGAGACACTGGAACACACAACTTGATAACCTGAGAAACATGAGCACCCTCTCTGTGACATCAACCTTACCACAAAGACAAACGTATGAGGCACAGGGCTCTGTTGTGACTATTGACAAGTCTCTGGAGTTTCTCTGGAAATAAAATATCCCTGCCCTCCAGGCATCCCAGTGCTGCTACCACTCACTGGGGAAGACAGTGATAAGAAAAATACATGGGTCCAGGCTGGAGAGGATGTATTAAAGTCGCCTCCATCCTTGCTTTCAAGAGAAAAGAGCATATGTTTGCCTCTAGTCTATATGATAGAGGAAGATGCAGTTAGTCTCTGTATCTGTCTGTCTGTATGTCTGTCTATCTATCTATCTATCTATCTATCTATCTACCTATCTATCTATCTATCTATCTATCATCATCATCGTCATCATTATTATTCATTGTATACCCAGTTGTTCTGGCTCACAAAATGTAGCCCAGAGTGACCTTGAACTCCTGATCCTTCTGCATCTACCTCTCAAATGATGGAATCATAGGCAATATGCCACCATGCCTAGCCAAGTTCCTGCATATGTTTTAAGTTTTACTTATAATTGTAATGATATGTATAGGTGTGTCTGTGTGTGAGATGTACATAGAGAAGTGCAGTTACCCAAGGAATCCAGGAGGATCCCCCAGAGCTGAGTTACAGACCTTCATGAGCCCATTCAGTGTGCCTACTGGGAACCTAAGGGGTCCTCTGCAAGAGTGGGATATATTTCATCTCTCCAGCCCTAGGTCCCTACATCTTAAAGCCCCAAATCTATTTATTATACACTGAGGGATCTGAGCAACTGAGATAAACTGATGGAGGAGATAATGGGAGCAGCTGAGGACTAAGTGATTTCATACTCAACTCCTGTACCATTGGGCTATTTTTAAACAGAGAAGCAGTATAGGAATAGAAAAGAATTCCAGACTTATCTGGACAGACATTGTTAAATAATATGCAAGTGACTTTTCAAAGTAGTTTAGGCAAAACAACTAGCCTCGCAGCAACACAGCCCACAAATCACATAGGAAACTTACACGGCTCTTACTATTTTGTCATCGAATTTAATCCTGATTTCACATAAATGATGATGTCTCACAGATATTTCTCTAATATATCTTCTGATGGGTTCTAGCTGCAAACAGAAAATTAACTCATCAAAAAATGTGATAGTAACAGAAAATGTTAATGACATCATTAGGAAAGACAGAAAACCAAACCCCATCTACCGCCTCAACATTAGAAAGTCTCTGAGTGACTGAAGAGGAGCTAAGCACAAAGGAATAATGGGGCAAGGATTTTGCAAAAAAATAAAATAGCAGCTCAGTTACCCGGCGATCACATAGCTCAAAACTTCATAAGCAAACTGATGTCCGTGTTTTTTATGATGGCAAACTTTAAAGCCAAATAAGATGGTTCAAGAGTAGAATAATTGATAAGCAATGACATATTGCTTTGAGAACATTTATATTTATAATGAAAATAGATGTGTTTAATCAAATATTTAATCAAAACTTTCTTGGAATGAACACAGTAACATATAAAATAAAAATCTCAATTGAAAAAAAAGCAGTAGAAGGAAATACATAAAATTAACATTTTTATCTGGTAGCAATGTAAGTAAAATCTTTAAATTTCAGGATAGCTATATATCTCCAATTAGAACATATGAGGGAGAATATGAAGCTGAAGAGATGGAGTAGTGGTTAAGAGCACCTGTTATTCTTGCTGAGGGTCTGGATTCAATTCCCAGCACCCGTATGGTATCTCACAACCATCTGTAACTCTATTATGAGGTGCTCTGAAGCTAGAAGGAGCATGCATGTAATGCCAGACAAACATGCAGCCCAAACACACACAAACATAAAATAAATAAAAACCAACAAAAGCATTATATTAACTGTGTGTTGTTTATTATAATAATATTTTTAAGAAATATCAGAAAATGTATATACTATGATCTTCAAACAAAAACTGGCATAATCAGAATAATTTTGTTTACTGTTGCTAAATAGTAATTAATAATAGGTTATAGTTAACTGTAAGTTTTCTTTATTATTATCCCCTTTGTTGCATCACATTCATTCAAAATGGAATGCAAAACCGTTTGGCTGTTCTCACGAGGGTCTCTGAGGCTTCAGCATACTCTGATTAGAGACACAACTAATATGCAATATGATTGATAATGTAATTTTCTCTAAGGACAGAACAAGAGCTGCTTAGAACACTGTGACTGTTACGGAGAGAAACCTCTTAGCTAACTCACTGCGTCTGCTTATATGTAACACCATAGGGGCATGTCGCACATTGAGGAAGATGTTCCAGTGAAGAAACTGATGTGAAAACTGTTGTGACTTAAAAGGATGGTGTGCAAGCAATTCGCATCACCCAGCTTGGTGGGAAATGCTGGACAGTGAGGCAGACGTCAGAGCATAACCATTGAATTTCAGGCTTCCATTAAAACGAAACCAAGAGGAAGGAGAAATGATTGCCTTCCTGGGATAACTGAGAGTTGGCTTTTGAAGCAACCAGAATCCTCCAGAATAAGAATGGGGAGGTCATGAATATAAACAAATAGCTTTAAAGAAGATGGTTACCACCGTGAGTTCTTAGGCTATGGCAGAGTGTCTCCAGATATGCTTATCTATATGTTAATAAACAAGAAGGAGTTAGGTAGGAGAAAGAGAAGAGGTTCTGTAAATTTTAGAGGAAATTAGACGATTTCTTACTGAGAACAATAAAGACATCAAGACAAAAACAGTCTAAGTTAGCCTTAAGTTATTCATCATAACGATTATTAACTACTGTTAGTTTTCAGCATGACACATAGAAAATCTGCCTGATGGCCTTTATATTGTGTCTTTTAATATTCAGAATTTTCTAATGTTTAAAACTGATGTAGGAAGTCCTTCTGTATATATGTTGCTTTTATTGGTTAATGAATAAAGAAGTTGCTTTGGCCTATGATAGGGCAGAGTAAAGCTAGGCAGGAAACCTAAACTGAACACTGGGAGAAATAAGGCAGAGTCAAAGAGACACCATGGAGCTTCCGGAGGAGACAGACATGAGGTGATGTTATGCTGCTGGTCCACAACCCACAGTTTCCATAGCAAAGCCCTAAATGACAACTGAGCTATGTATACACTACCTTTGTCTGCAGGCACTCGGTTTTATTTTCTTCTTGACAGCACGACCAAACAGCTGTTTCATAGCAAGCAGACATGGTCAAGATAGTGGGTCCGTATAAGAATGGATACCTTCGAGAAATTTCATAGCTGAACCTGAAATTTACAATTGCAAAGTTGAGTGGTTTGAAATTTAGGCACATATACCAATGTCGTTTCTCATAAACTGTATTTATTTATACTTTGTTTCTCTGGAACTTGTGGAAATTCTGGCAATTGAGATTTGAGATTTAGGCACTTTGCCTAAAATCCTCAAAGATTCACAGTAAACAGACCAACAGGATCATTCCCTGGGTGCCCATGAAGTGACTGTAACAGATGGGTTAAATGTGACCAGAAATGAAATGCCCCCACATTCCTCGAGAGACAGGGAGGTAGGAAGTTCAGTTGTCCAAGCTGTGCTGTAATGCAGGCTTGTTCATCTGGCTCAGGAATTGACTTGACAATTATTGATGATGGTCAGCAGCCTCTCAAGGTCACCCAGAAGTTCTTCCTAGACTAACAAAGTCAGTATCATTGTGCCTTGAGACTTGTCATGTAGTACTTTCGGTTATTACTAAATTCCCTGGAATTATGTTTCCTCACATAAGACTGTGGAACTTGTTCGAGAACAGACTCATATACACAGGAATATGCACTCAGCCAAGTCAACACTATAGACCAAACCTGTGTGTTCCCACAGATCCATGTCCTCTTCCTGTGTACTCAGAAAGACCACTTTCTCAGTGAAGTTGAGAGTTGTGGTCAATAAAATATTAATGGGAACGCTGTGCCTCACTTCTAAGCTTGGCCACTTATTTCTTTGCTACACTCTCGATCCTCTTTCCTTTATAAACATGCGTTCCCACATGGTGCAGCCCAACACAGAGGCATGTGAGATTCAGTTACTCATTAGACAGGAATTTGAGCTGAGCTGAACAAAACTGAGCTGCCAGATGTCCAAGTAGCGAAGTAAGTTGGGAAGCCAAGGTGAAAGTCACAGTTACACCACAGGTAACTACTTACTAGGGTGCTAAAGGGGAGAGAGAGAGCTAAAGGAAGACTTCCAGGTCTTCGGTCCCATTGTCTCCCCCAATGCGCAGGCCAGTCGAAGGTCATAGAAATCAACCTAAGTATTCAACAAGATGGCTCAGTGGGCAAAGGTACTTACCACACTCCTTGGTGACCAGAGTTTGACTCCTGGAACACAATTGAAGGGAGGAGGAGAGAAACGGCCCCATCAAGTTATCCTTTGACCCCCTACACATGCACATCCTTGTGCACGGTATCGTTCTATTCAGTAAGGAATGACCACAGATATTGAATCTGCCCATTCCTAGAGGCCCCTTGGGAAAAGCTCCGACAGTTTCATGGACCCAGGGGGAAGGGTAGGAAGTAGCACAGGAAACCGAAGCGGGAAGTGCCCATGCTGGATGTCCTGGGAAGCAGGTCTCTGAGAGTAGGCACTGCGGCAAGGTGCTCAGCTCTGTTTGGGAGCATGGACCCAGGGTGACACAAGTCCACAGCAGTGCCCTTCAGAATACCTGCTGTGCTTCTAATCTGCTGTGGGATGCTTTGGGGTTGCCTGAAGCTTGTTGTAGATAGCGATACTTTAATACATGAGTTGCCGTACTCATATTTCACCCTTAATGGCAGGCATTTTAGAACTTGCTGGACATGTGATCCTTTAGTTCTTTCTAACTAAGAGTATGAGGGCGCATACTTCCTTTACAAAGCTTCAGAACTCTCTGAGGGCAGTTCTGCCCCTGTGAGGGTAAATTAAAAGGACTTGAGTTCCTTATCTCTGTATTGTCTAGTCTCCTCTAGACTGATGTGAATAAAATCTATTATCAAATCACCGCTAAGTTTCTAGACTCTGGGTCCATCAGTCAGATGTAGGATTATCCCTCATGTTAGTGCCTGATTCAAGTAGAAACAGCTACACTTAATGAGAGCCACTGTCTTTTGTTCCCCTCGTCCTTTCCTGACCCTAACCCCCGACTTCTTGTTAGCACCTGTCTCTCATAAGATGCAACTCTGTGCTGATTAGGACTCCAGTCTGTGGATTTGGTAGTGCTACAGTGCTAGCTGTATCGCTTGCCCCAGGATTACACAGCCCATTTTTCAGTTGAAGACTCACCTCTGTTTGATCTACAATTATTGCTTGTTTCTTGGCTCAAATGACAGAACCTGCCTCACACTTCTCAGATGCTCTTTCTGGTATCTACTGATGCTTCTCCCCAGGACAGCACACTCTTGCTAGCCTCTGTCTCCAGGGTTCTCTGCTTTTTGACGCCTAGTCATCTGGACCTTTTGTTGTGCATGGAGGGATAGATTAGATAGATAGATAGATAGATAGATAGATAGATAGATAGATAGATAGATAGATAGATGATAGATAGATAGATAGATGATAGACAGACAGATAGATAGATAAAAGGCTAGATAGTGCCTTCTGAATTCCCTCATATGCCAATCATTGAAGCCATCTTGATTCTTATGGTTCCAAAGAAGACGAATTCACATAGTGGCACTGGCAAGGTTATGTCAGCAGGTAAAGAAGAAGCACAAGCTCACCTCCACAGGTCAGGGTGGCCCAGGCCAAACACCGCAGGCAAAAGACACTCCTGGAATCTGGACTTACATATTAGTCTACCATATCTCTGCCCCTGGCCATCCCTGGGGTGGTCTGCTTAGAGGCCATTCTTACCTCCGGTGTTAACTGCAATAGCCTGCTGCTTTACATGTAACACATGTATGCAGTGCAACTATCCACGCAGCTGAGACATTCATCAGGGGAAAGGACAAGGCTGCCTTCCTTCCTTGTTTCGTGTTCCTCACAGGTGGAACGTGTAGGTGGGCCTCATGGGAGCCAGCTAGATCTATCAACGGGGGCACTGCCACCTTCCCAGAGCCTTGTCCTTCCTCATGTCTAGTCAGGCTGGCTGATTGTAGGCAGACACAAGCCTCTTTGTGACCTTTCTCAGTGTTACAAGCTGTTTTAGTGCCCACATTTGTTTAGCACTAGCATTCGTGTTGCGGGAGGTCCTTCCGCTCCTCCAGCCTATAGCCGCTGAGATATCAGCCCATTGGGGCGTGGTCTCTCTCCCTTTAAAAAAGCGGCTACTTCCCGTCTCGCCCTCTTCGCTTCTTGCTCCATTTCCGGCGACTAGACTCCTTCCTGATTGCGCAGAGGGCTGTTGTCTGGGACGGTTAACTGTAAGTTTTTTTCCCCTTTAAATAAATACCACCCTATTAATCATAATTCCAAACTGGTGTGGCATTGTTTGCGACTTACGTCTTCACATTCGTTTCCCACCCAACTCCTGGTCTTCCTAATCAGGGAAGTGAGCACTTTATAGGGCCGAATCATTTCTAATCTTCCACAGCAGATTCCCAGGCCCTACTGATCCAATAGGATGCTAACTGACCACATTCTCCTTAGAAGAAAAAAAGATGTATCATAACATTTTTACATTTCAATTCCTTATCATAAAACATCTGGTTTTAGAGAATTTTATGTGCAAAAAGAGTCTGTCTTAAAATTTGGAAAATATTCTTCTGATGAGGCCAGGATAAAGAGTAGTGGTGTACCTTGTCTTCAGTGACATGTGAGTCCCCTCATCTGTCTCACAGGTCAGCTCAGGCCTTGGAATCAGGGGTACATCGATGCTGTCTGTGTCATCTTTCTTGGAGGACAGGAAGCACTGGAGTCTTGCTGTAATTTCCATCTTACAGCAGTCACTGAACACTTGATTGCCCATCAGCCCTTGGTCGTTGCAAATATGGGTGAGGAAGGTACCCATCTGTAGGAGGAAAGGGGGACGTGCAAGAGAAGCGAAGGAGACCAACATTCCCTACCATAGGAAACTTAACCTGGATGCATGATGCTGAGCTTTGAATTCAATAATCTCAGGACACAGATTTAATTTTAGTTATTTCATTCTGTATGTACATGTGTATTCTTATACGTGTTTGGGTACGCATGTGTGCACATGTATGTGGAGAGACAGAGACCAATGCTAGGTCTTTCTCACTCTGCATCTTAACTCTAAGACAAAGTCTTTCAATAAACCTACAGCTATGCTGACAGATCAGCCAGCTCTGGGAATCGCCTGTCTCAGGACCCCGCTGTCGGTACTGAGGAAATGGACAGCTGTGCCCGGCTTGATACAGATAGTGGAACACGCACTCAGGTCTTTCCACGGGTACAACAAGCATTGCATCAACCGAGCTACCACGCCAGCCCCCAGGCACACTTTTTAAGGAAAAATCTTCTAGGTATTAATTTTCTCACATTCATTTATCTGTTATGTGTGGTGAGGGGGTGTGTGCCTTGGAGCAGGTAGAGAGGTCAGAGGACACCTGGAGGGGGGCATTTTCTCCTTCCACCTTCTGGGTTCCTGGTATCGAACTCAGGCTGTCTGAATTAGCAGCAAGTGCCTTTACTCAACCACATGTTGAACCCCTTTTAGGTTTTTAAATCTAAACCCACATATGCTAGTGTTTGACCAGAGAGAATTTACCATTTCTTCCTTTCCTAAGAAGTTGCTTCATTCTCAAGCAATTGACAGGCTTCTGAGAAATAATTAGATATAATTCAGAATTTCCAAGGCAAGATATTCTTAAGGAGACCTCTCCACCAAAAAAAAAAACAAAAAACAAAAAAAACAAATGCTACTAATTTGCTTTTTTTCCTACTCGTTTTTAGTTTTGTTTCCATGGAAACATATTTTAAGAATTGAACTTTGAGTCAGTGCGTGTTCATTGTCACCCTCCCCGTGGGAAATGTAATCATTCCAGTGTTTTCAAATGTTTTCATGTGGCAGGAAATGCTTGGCGTTTGGTAAACCTCAACTGGCATGCATGTTCCATATTTGAGTAATAAGTACAGAAAAAGCCATCTTTTGAGGCAGAAATAAAGAAGGGATTGCTCTAAAATGAGTGTAGCCACTGGCAGAATCTTCATTTAAAACACGGACTAGGGAAGACTGATGTCATCCCTTGCATTCAGAGTCTGAAACACTATGCACAGGCGTTAGTCCCGAGAGATGAAGCAGGATACTCTACAAATCAAGAAAAAAAAGTTACTCCTCACTTATACGTCCATTATTTAGTGTGAAAATAACTGATCCTAAAACTCAGGGAGGGGATACGGAATGACTCAGTGGCTGATGGCACTTGCGGCCAAGTCTGATGACCTGAGTTCAATCCCTGGGACCCACAGAGTCAAAGGAGAGAAATGACTCCGGAAAGTTGTCCTTTGACCTCTGTGTGTCACACACATACACACACACAGTATAAACACTATATAT